CCATGAATTTGTTAAAAAGCTCATGGTGGTCTGTACAGAGAAGCTGTCCGTCCCGCAGAACATACTCATCTCCAGGGAGTAACCGGCGATTGCAGCCCTCACAACGAAAACACTGGACGTGATAAATATTCACTCGTGTTTGCATGACATACTCCTTGCTGATGAAGGCTTTGTGGCATTTTGCACATTTACTGGTCCATAATCTGACAGAGAATATAGAGGAGAAAAGATCACAAACATTACATTTCTGAATGGAAGAATTTATCCTATAAAATCACACTTAACAATACATTGTCTATGTTTTAAAAGTGCACATGGGAATATAATTAATTATAATAATCACAATTACAAGAGTAAAAGACTGCCACGGTAAAAAAACAGTAAGATGCATTATAATCTAAATCTAATGGGACAGTTAGACAGTGAAATACTGTTAAAGGTACAGTTTCTGGGAGTGAAAAAGCACAACTGTAACTGTAATTTTACGTTCCCAGAATTCTCTGTGGAGCCTCATATTTAATGGTTTTTCATTTAAGTGCTTCTTGTGCATGTGTATGACACTGTGCACCAAGTATTCACCTCAGGAAAAGCTTTGATTCATCATGTGGCTTCCTCTTTACCTGTGTTTTTTTGGTGGTTATTAATAATAATAATAATAATTCATTAATAATTTATGCATTTAGCAGACACTTTTATCCAAAGCCACTTACAGTGCATTCAGGCTATACATTTTTTGTGTTCCCTGGGAATTGAACCCACGACCTAACGCAATGCTCTACCACTGAGCCACAGGAACAAAATAAATAAATAAATAAATAATAATAATAATAAAGGTACAAGTACCTTAGTAAGTTAGTATATTAACATTATATTGGTTAATGAAATGTTTTTTTATACTAGTAAGTTTAATGCTGTGATGCATTGAAATTAGAAGTTGCTGAATGAAATATTTTAGAATTTTTGGACCACTTATTAAACATCATAAGTTTTTAAAGTTTTTTTTATATCCCATTCGACTTGTTGTAACTTACTTAGCTAGAAAACTACAAAATGTGATCAGAATAACGAATTATTGAAGGTTTAATAAATAAATAAATAAAGTAATTCTGATGCGCAAATCGACTTTCCTTTTAAAACGGCACGCACCTCCTGTGGTGGTCTTTACAGAAGGTTTTTCCGTCTCTGATGAAGCAGGTGCAGGACTCATCCAGAGACTGCTGGCACTCCGCGCACTTCAGGCACTGCGCGTGCCACTCCAGATCAGGGAAAACCCGCAGAATGAAGCGATCCAGGATCTGCTGCCCACAACCCACGCAGTAGGACACCAGCTTACTTCCTTTAAGAACACACATCACCTATGTCTCTAATCTATCGAGACTATTGTAGTGACAATTAACGCCCAAAATACTAGATTCTCAAGCATCTCATCTAATGCTAGTAATAAGTAAGCTGAACTTTTGATCAATTATAACTTACTGTTCTGGGGATCTCCCATATCAGAATGCCGTTATCTTCTAAATGATATTAAACACTAACGAGAAGGAAAGTTGTGTTGCACTAGCCTATCTACAGGGCCACTGGTCTCACTCACTCCTCTTTATTTATTTGATGTGACGAATGGAGCGCCAATCAGCTGCTGAGTGTTGAAGTCGAGTACTGAGAATAATGGAGCTCATTATCCCCGCCCACTAACACTTCGGCACGCCCACAGCAGGTGCATTTGTAATGTGACAAACTGGACTGGTCATGTTGTATTATCCATAAATTATAAAAAAATATAGAGAATAATTGCTTGCATGCCCTTACAGAAAAACAGTTAAAATCCCATGTGAAACATGAAACACACATGAAACGTGATTTTGGAACATTTTCACGATGGGAAGCCCATGTGATCACATGTGAACAATATGCGTGATCACATGGGCTTCACACCGTGAAAATGTTCCAAAA